CTTATATCATGGAAAACATCCTTTCCCTACTACTAAAAAGGTGGTAAGAACTCGCGCGGGGGTATCTCACCACCTGCCTATAAAAAGCGACGCGCAGACCAGTGGGCATGATTGATTCATTGATTCGATTGTCGTTCATTCATTCAGAAAGATTCGTTCCATACCATTCATTCACTTACACATTCTTGTATTTCATGACTATAACACACATAAAAAACATTCTTAAAACGCTGATCTATTGACTCTCAATTGTAAAAGGTAACAATTAAAGGTTTGATACTTAAATATTTGTCTCCTCAGATTAAATCCTAAAGATCCTTCTTCGTTCCGAGTTAAAACTTAATTCACACAAATCAGTCCGTCCCGGGGTAAATTAGTTAAATCTATTGACCTCAAAAAGGACTAACTTACATACATTCACGTTTCACGTCGTGACACATATATTGGTGACAGCGGTGGGATGGTCAAAGGATTGTGTGAAAAGAAAGTGAGTGATAGTGACTAAGAACAATAAATGCTAAACCTGACACGAAGTCTTCCACCAGAACCTAGTAGTGGAGCAGGAGACCAAGGCAACATGCAAGCTAATATGGATGTCAACGAATTAATGAGAACCTTAACTGAACAACAAAGAGCGATCGAGCGTTTGCAACAACAGCAAATTGGAAATCAGGGAATGGGACTCTTGGCGGAAGGTAATCTGATTCATTTCTCAATAAGAGACGCGCTCGAAGCTGTGCCTACCTATGATGGAGGAAATATACCGTTCGTATATTTTGTCGAGGGATGCGAAGAAGCTTTAAGTATGATTGCACCAACTCAAGAAAATATTTTAATACGAGCAGTAAGAAATAAATTAAAAGGAGATGCACATCGATCAATACTCGGTCGAACGTTTAACAATATGCGCGAATTAATAGAATTTTTAAGAGCTAAATATGGTCCCAGAGAAACAGTTTATGAAGCCCAGGGACGTTTAGCTTATGTATATCAGAAAAAAGATGAACAAGTAACTACGTATGCAAACCGTGTTCGGGAATTAGGAAAAAGAATATTAGATGCACAAAAGAGAGAAATTGGAAATATCAGTGCTGAATTTCAAAATTCAATTGAAGCACATTTGAAAACAAGCTTTTTATGAGGACTAAATAAAGAGTTAACCATATCTGGAGAAGGAACATTTGACGAAATAGAAAGCTGAGCAATAGACGCGGAAAAAGAACTTGAAACCATAAACATGATTCGTCGAGTGGTGTTAGCTGAGAATAACACACAGAGGCATGCTTCGTCGCGATATATAGGCGCAACAGAGATATGTCAATACTGTCGAGAACGGGGTCATACAGCTGATCGATGTAGAGAAATACAAAGAAATCAAGAAAGGCTTTCTGGAAACAATAATCGAAATTATATAAATGTCGGACAAGAATCACGAAACTCTCAACCCAACTCAAGATATTCAAATTTTCCTCAAAACTCACAACCAAGATATCCAAATTTCCTTCAAAACCTTCAACCAAGACATCCAAATCCTCTTCAAAACACTGGTTCTTATCAAAGAAACAATTATTTTAATTAGCCTTCAACTTCCGCTGCACAATTAAATCAATCAAATTCAATTATATGTAATTATTGCAAAAAATTTGGTCATAAAATTGAAGAATGTCGAAAAAAAGAATATAATAATAGAATTAATCAAAATCAAAATCAATTTTATCAATTTAATCAGGAAAACCAATATCCTCCCGAAAGGACTGGGGCAATTTCGGGAAGAACGAATACGCGCCCCTCACGAGTAATTACCGCAGAGGAAACTACGTAAAATTTAGAACAGTAAATTTGGCAAAGATAGAAGAAGTACCAACAGTAAAACTAGCAGGCACACACTTAAAGGGGGACTTAAAGTTTCTTGTAGACAGTGGATCAGGGCCGAACTTAATTAAACAAAGTTGCTTAGAATCAGACATCTGGGTAAATAGGAATAAAATTCTAAAACTGAGTGGAATTACGACACATCACGTGACCACCTTAGGGCTGGCACTGATAGATATCTTAGGATGTCCAGTCTCTTTTCATTTAGTGGAAGATAACTTTCCTATATCGCAGGATGGGATCTTAGGATCAGACTTTTTTAAGCAATTCCAAGTTAATGTCAATTATCAAGAAAATCGTCTAGAATGGGACAACATTGTTATACCATTTGAGCCCAAAGAAGATCTAGAAGAAACTTTAACAATTCCTGCAAGATCAATTTCTCAAATTCATATAAACATTGCTAATCCTGATTTAAAAGAAGGATATGTACCACAACTAACTGTAAGCAAAGGAATTTATTTAGGTAATGCCCTAGTTACAGTTCAAAACGGGAAAGCATATCTGAAAGCCATAAATACTACAGAAGAAGATCACAAAATATATGTACCAACAATAAAAGTGTGTGAATTCGAAATAAAAAATAATCAAACTCAAGAATCAGAATTACACTCAATCTTAGAGACAAAAAGAAATTCCTAACTCAGATGAAAATATAAATTCTTGCTACTAAATACAACATGACATTAGAAAAGGCAAAATAATTGAATTACTAAATCTAAAACATCTAAATAATGAAGAGCGAGAACACATTGAAAATTTAATTGAAAAGGGTGCCGATTGTTTTCATCTACCCGGAGAAAAGCTAGAACATACAAATGCATTACAACATCGAATAGTAACCACAGACGAAGCACCAATAAATACAAGACAATATCGGTTTCCAGTAATCCAAAAGGAAGAAATAAATAAACAAGTTGATGAACTTTTAAGTCAAGAAATAATTAAACCATCTAATTCACCATATAATACGCCAGTGTGGATAGTACCTAAAAGGGCAGGCGCGGACGGTCATAAACGCTGGAGAATGGTGTTAGATTTCTGTAAACTAAACGACAAGACGATAAGCGACGCATATCCTCTTCCAAATATAACAGAGATACTTGACCAATTAGGAGGAGCTAAATATTTTTCGGTATTTGACCTTGCCTCAGGCTTTCACCAAATACGAATGCATCCAAATGATAGTCATAAAACTGCTTTTTCGACCCCACATGGTCATTACGAGTTTGATAGAATGCCTTTTGGACTTAAAAATGCACCTGCAACTTTTCAGCGACTAATGGATATAATACTTAGCGGAATGCAGGGAAATGAAATTTTTGTATATTTAGATGACATAGTATTATATTCAAGTTCATTAACAGAACATGCAATAAAATTTGAAAAATTAATCGACCGACTACGAAAGGCAAATTTGAAATTACAACCAGACAAATGTGAATTTCTACGAAAAGAAGTAATTTATTTAGGACATATAATTGGAGAAGAAGGGGTTCGCCTAGACCCAACAAAAGTGGAAGCCGTTAAAAACTTTCCAGTTCTACAAAATGTCAAAAATATTAAACAATTTCTTGGTCTAGCTGGGTATTATCGAAGATTTATAGAAGGATTTTCAAAAATCGCTAAACCATTAACCAATTTGTTAAAAAAAGAAGTTGAATACAAATGGAAAGGAAAGGAACAAAATTCATTTGAATTATTAAAAAACGCTCTTTGTCAAGAACCAGTATTGCAATATTCTGATTTTACCAAACCCTTCCTTTTAACAACAGATGCGTCAGGAACAGCAATAGGTGCGGTCTTAAGTCAGGGACAAATAGGAAAAGATCGACCAATAAGCTATGCCTCACGAGTATTAAATGACGCAGAGAAAAATTATTCAACAATAGAAAAAGAACTATTAGCAATTATATATGCTGTGCAACATTTTCGACCTTATCTTTACGGAAAAAAATTCATTTTGGTAACTGATCATAAACCATTGACTTGGTTAAATAAAGTAAAAGACCCAAGTTCACGTTTAATAAGATGGAGAATTAAATTAGCTGAATATAATTATGAAATAATATATAAACCAGGAAAAGTCAATTTAAATGCTGACGCTCTATCTCGAAATCCTCCCAGACCTGTTTATCCTATGAATCCTATGTACGATGAAATACAAGAATGTTCATCCGACGAAGAATCAAGGCAAAGAAATGCAAATCCAAGACCACTGAAAAATTCACCACGGACAGGCTCAATGATTGAGGAACCAGAACCTGAGATGAAACATATGACAACACGTAACTCAAAAAAATCAGAAGGAGAAAGCTTTCCATTTACAAAAAGGAAATTAAACGAACCACCATTCACAAGACATATAGTTCAGGCAGAAATACATAATAATGAAACAGACAATCAGGAACAATTAAATAATCAAATAGAGCCTTTAATTTCAGAAGAATATTTTAATCAGAATACAGAAACTTCAGAAATAAATGAGGAACCAGCAGAACAAAATAATGACTTAAATAATCCAAATTTTTCCCATTTGATAGACATACCACAAAATCTTTTACAAATACTTGACAATTTAATAAGATATCAAGATGATCAATTTAAATCAGATAAACCAGATTCAACAATTGAGAAAGAAACAATTAATCAAGACCAGTTTGAGGAATATAATAGTGAAAAAGAAGAAGATGATGAAGACGAAGAAGAAAGCAACGATGATGAACAAGAAAATAATGAACAAGACATCGATAAAACGTTTAATGAATTAGGCTGCGAAACAGATGAATTAATTAATAACCAAATATTTATACGGACTCAAAAACAAAATATCATTAATAGTCGTGATCAAATATTTATGAGAAAGGATAATTATTTATATTTCTTAACGGTAGACAGAGAACCTTGTGATCAAGGAGCTAAAGAACTCCGATCTCAAAATTTAATTCCACAAATAAGGAAAACAAAACCCGGAGATTTAATTATAAATAAAAGGGGAAATAAAATACATTTAATATTCATATGTAAAAATAATGTTCAGGAAAAAATAACTGATGAAATATTACAAAATTTATCAATTAAATTACGAGATAAGCTATAACGAAAAATTCTATAAAAATAATAAATATTACAAAAACATCACAATTGGATAACTATAAATGGGAACAAATTTTTAATGAAATTCGAAAAGCAATAATTGGATTTTCAATTAAACTAATAATTTGTCATGGACTAGTCAAAATTCCTGAAATAAAAAGGAGAAAAGATATAATTGAAGAAGCTCATTCATCAACAATAGGAGGACATAAAGGAGTAACAAAGACTTATAACAGAATTAGACAAAATTTTTATTGGGAAAATCTCAAATTGGAAATTCAAAATTACATCAAACAATGTTTACAATGTCAAATCAAAAAGTTAGTCCGAGTAAAAACAAAACAACCAATGACAATAACAGACACACCATATTCATCATTTGAAAAAATATCAATGGATATAGTTGGACCGTTACCTGAAACCACCCAAGGAAATCTTTATATCCTAACAGTCCAAGATCATTTAACAAAATTTTCCCTTGCTATTCCTTTAAAATCTATTTCTGCAACGAATGTGGCGAATGCATTATTAAAAAATTTCATTTGTATCTTTGGTGCTCCTAAAGCTGTATTAACGGATCAAGGAAGTAATTTCATGAGTAATTTAATGAAGAGATTTGCAAAAAAATTTAGAATTAAACAATACAGAACTACAGCATTTTATCCACAAGCAAATGGAGCTTTAGAAAGATCACATTTAGTATTAATTGAATATTTGAAACAATATGTAGATAAATTCACAGAATGCGACGAATTATTAGAATACGCTACATTTTCATATAACACAAGTAAACATGAATCAACTGGATATACTCCATATGAGTTGGTGTTTAGAAAAATTGCCAGACAACCATCCAGTGAAGTCAATAATGATCAAGAAGAAGAAAAAACATATGATGATTATTTAAGCAAATTAATAACAAATATTCATGATCTTCAAAAATTGGCAAGAGAATGTTTAATAGCTTCAAAATTTAAATCAAAAAGATATTACGATCAAAAATTAAATCCACAAGAATTTCAAATTAATGACCAAGTTTTTCTCTTATGTGAACCAAAACGAGGAAAACTTGGAGATCAATATTCCGGACCCCACATGATAATAGATATTTTACCCAACGGTAATATTAAACTTCTATTTAAAGGAAAATCAAGAATTGTCCATCCAAACAAAATCAGGAAGTCTAGAATTGTGACTAAGTAGCAATAGGGAGGTTGGACTTGTACTGCGCAACATCTGCAACCTCCCAGCTCGAAAGTAAATAAATATAATATTAACATAGAAATAACATAAGAAAATAAGTATATATAATATATATAATATAATAAATATATATAATAGATATATAAGAATTAATAAAATTGTATTTTGTAGATGAAAATCGTAATTTTCTTGACAGTGATTATCTGCGTACAAGAAATGGATACTTTAACTGGATACGACTGCGGATCACCCAATTTAAATGTCACTGCGTTATCACTAATAGACATAGAAGAATGTAATATTCCATTAACTGAACCACAGATAGATAACACATACATACAATTACTTCAACTTTCAAGATTTGATACTATAAAAGTGATACAATGTAAAATATTAATATCAAGAACTATATATTATTGCGGAATGCATTCCCATATCTCTACAGTAACAAATTCACAAGCAACATATATAACGGAAACATCTTTTGACCAATGTAAAAATATGCATGAGACTGGAACATTAATTTGGGACTCTAACCATATTATAAATGGATTAAAACAAAATCATACTATTTCACGTTCGATAACTTTTGCTGGATCTACAGATGGACAATGTTTTGCAGTAACTACAGATGGACAATGTTTTGGTGCACAATATTCAGATATTATCAATATTCAGATTATGGAACTTGGCAAAACGTGATAGTACAAGGAACAATAATAATAACTTTACAATCATATAATGCACCAATAAATCTTGAAACCAACCAAATCCATTTAAATTCTGGAACAAAATGTCAATATTCGGACAAAAGATGTTCAGATATTGAAGGAAAAAGTAATTTTTGGGAAAGCATACCACATGATTTCTGTAAATTTAATCATTATGATTTATTATATGAAGGCAAGGCGGAAAAAATTATGGATCCTGTAAATGAAAAATTAACAATTGTATATTCGTTATCTACAGAAGATGTGACATTTGCCTTGACAAAAACGGGTGAAGAGGTTCTTTGCGGATATAACTTAATCAAAACGGAACATCCAAAATTATTAATTCTTGAAACTAAAAAGGGAGATTCATTTGCTCAAAAAAGACGAAAAATCATCGAAAACGTTGACATGTTTGCTTATATAAATTCAAAATTTGTTTATGTGGAAAAACATATACGCACACAAATTAAATACTTATACAGAGACATACTCCAACAACGTTGCAATCTGGAACAACAAATAATCAAGAACGCACTCAGCATAGCGATACATTCACCTGACGAATTCGCTTACCAATTCATGAAAGGGCCTGGTTATATGGCAACAATATCAGGAGAAGCAGTATATATAATTAAATGCACCCCAGTGGAAGTAACCATCCGATATACCGATAAATGTTATCATTAGTTACCAGTATTTAAAGGAAACGAAACATATTTTATGGCTCCAAGAACACATATCCTACTACAAACAGGAACACAAATCACGTGCAATAAAATAATACCACCATTATACTTTTTAACTGACGCATGGTACCGAATTTCACCAACTCCAGAACTGGCAGTACCACCAACCAAAATTAAACCTATGACACAACCAACGTGGCAATATAAAAATCCTGGATCTTTGGCGATAAGCGGAATTTATAGTAGTAAAGATTTAGAAAACTTAAGGGATTATATCATGTTCCTAGCTGAAAAAGGAGGAATTTTAAACACAATGGCACGAGGAGTTCAAGGCAAACAAACCGAACAACAAGGCATCTCTCTATCACACCTGTTGGATGAAGCAACAATAAGAAAAATTGTTAGCAGTACTTGGGAAAAAATCTGGGGAGCATTCATCATTTTTGGAAACGCCAGCGCAGGAATAATCGGACTCTACTTCTGCCTACGAGCAATCAAATTAATAATTGACACAGTTATTCATGGATATGCTATTCACTCAATCTATGGATGGTCAATATATTTAATTGGAGCAATTTGGGACTCAGTAACAAATCTACTACTGCATCTTGGTAAGCGAATTGTACCACGAGAAGAAAATAGACCATCATTAGAAAAACAAAATGAGGAAAATTCTGGACCAAATGAAATTCCTTCAGAACAATCAAACAAGAGACATTTAACAGTGGCACTAACACAGACACCTAATACAAATACTAGCATCAATATACAACCTATAAACACAGAAAATATAAATGATAATTTACAAAATGTTAGCATGCAAGAAACAATCCGCAACGAACCCTCTTGCTCTAATATATATCCTAGGATATAAAAAAAAGAGAGAAAGAGAGAAATCTTAAATTAACTTAAATAAAGTTTAGAATTCAAAGGATAAAACGAAAGCATGTTATCACGTGTAAGGGTACTCTTTCATTCTGGTATCACATAGCCAAAACATAAACCCTCCAGTCACAGTCAATCGGTTCCTCTCAGTCAACGCTCGACAGCCCAAGCAGTCGCTAGCAGCAAAAAGACAGCACTAACAGTTAAAACAGTTAAAACAGTTAAAACAGTTAAAACAGTTAAAAAAGTTAAAACAGTTAAAACTATTTCGTGTAAAGGAAACAGAAACTTTAATCCAAGTAAGTAAAACATTTTAAACATACTCACATTATAGTAAGCACGCGTTCCTTTTTTTTTTTCTTCCAAAATTAGTTAAATTAAATTTACAATTTCACAAACATTAGATTATGAAGATCCCATCTGGACAAGAAAATAAGGATTTCAATGAATATTATGGGCCTATTGATGGGATCCTACCAATCGAACATATTGACACATATGCTCTATTAATAGCTAGCATATGTATTAAACAACTCAATAATGAAGAAAAAGTATACATATGCAAGGAACACCCGAAAACAAAACTGTGTGAGGAATGCTATAATCAACTAGGACAACCAGAACATTACAAATTACTAGAAACGAAACATACCCTACACGTTGTGGTATTATTAGACAGAACAATAGCTTATAAATGCCATAAGTGCAAAAAAACAATTATGAGAAGAAACAGTGCCGCCAGACAATGTCGCGAATGTATTGAAGAATTTGTATTAGATCCCGACATATTAGCATTAGAAGGTGAGATACAAGTATATAAAAGATATTAAAAAAAAAAACAAACAAATAAGTGAATGGATCAAATAAATTTAATTTTCAAATGCATCAAATAATTTTAATTTTCACCAAATAATTTTAATTTTCAATCATTTTCATTCATTGCGCTCATACGAGGTTTCATTGTTATCGATCATTTTCATTCATTGCGCTCATACGTGGTTTCATTGTTGACTCACCACGCATGACTTAAGGGGGAAAGTGTTACGTCCACGTAACTTTAAACAATATTTAACTTTAAACAATATAAATTCAATCATAAAATCAATTCGACAATAACGTTTAGACCGGATATTTTGGCCAATTGATCCTCAGTCTAGACGTAATAAATACAACACCGAATGCTTCTTCATCGGAGAAGAGATAAAGAACAATGGGTAGATAACAAATATCATAACCATGATTATTGATTATCACTCTTATATCATGGAAAACATCCTTCCCCTACTACTAAAAAGGTGGTAAGAACTCGCGCGGGGGTATCTCACCACCTGCCTATAAAAAGCGACGCGCAGACCAGTGGGCATGATTGATTCATTGATTCGGTTGTCGTTCATTCATTCAGAAAGATTCGTTCCATACCATTCATTCACTTACACATTCTTGTATTTCATGACTATAACACACATAAAAAACATTCTTAAAACGCTGATCTATTGACTCTCAATTGTAAAAGGTAACAATTAAAGGTTTGATACTTAAATATTTGTCTCCTCAGATTAAATCCTAAAGATCCTTCTTCGTTCCGAGTTAAAACATAATTCACACAAACCAGTCCGTCCCGGGGTAAATTAGTTAAATCTATTGACCTCAAAAAGGACTAACTTACATACATTCACGTTTCACGTCGTGACACCACATTGCTGGCAAAGAGTGAGTTTTCTAAACTGTACGCTATAACTGTATACGGTTTTTCATCCATTTACGGTGATTTTTCACAAACAATTCGTTAAACTTCGTGCCATTTTAATACAAACATAGTATTATTATATTTTTATTGAGTGATGCACTGAACACTGAACTTAGAGCGCTGCCAATGGTCCATTTATTTCTCTTAAACAGGTTCATTGGACTAACAGTTACGCTGTTCGACATTGCATCGAAAATATATGGGAAAACCGTTTTGCACAAACAAGTGAATACATTCGAAGATATTATAATAGGCAAATAAATTACATTTTTATTAGACTCCATATTTATTAATGCACTGTACATCATTTTAAATATAATATTGTTCTGAGGGTTTTCTCATTTAGCGCGGCGAAACAGACACATTTTATGAATTCTTTTTCGATCAGACAGAAGATTTTACGGATGTAATTGTTTTTGGGGATTGTTTAATACTGTTTGAAGCGTATTTGTTAATTCAGAGGATATTGTAATGAAAGCAAGAAGGTTTTATTTCGTACCTTCTTGACTTTGTTACAATTCTTTTCCATATTTTATTCTACATCTTTGCACAATTTAAAATTATTCTTCAAATATTATTAAACAATTCCCAACAATAATCAAATCCATGAACCTGTCCGTCTCAGCAAAATAATTAATGAAATATATTTCATTTTCGGCGCGGAATATTATTAATATTATTATTATAAACAACAATATTATTAATAATAATATAATCATAATAATTTCGGCGCGCCAAATAGGAAAAAGTTCTCAGTATCGTCATAGTCGCGCCCGCGACTCAGATTATAACCGAGAAAGAATCAGCCTAACTCGCGTCGCTGAGCGAGAACGAGAGTGAGAAAGAAAGAAAGATATTCTTGCTCATGTCGCCAAGCGAACACGAGAGCGAGAAAGAAGGAAAGATATTCTCGCTCATGTCGCTGAGCGAACACGAGAGCGAGAAACAGGGAATGATATTCTCTCTCTCGCTCGGCGCGCCGATGATTGCCGAGCGCGTGGCCGACACAGATAGACCGAGTCGGCTGTGTGTGCATGCGTGGTGGTGGAAATTCGCTGGCTAGCCCGTCACCGATTTCCCATCACTGCCTACAGCCAGCCACGGTCCCGAGGACGCGTGCAAAAGAGTGCTCGAAGCGCTAGAGGAGGCGACCAAGTCGCTCCTAGTATTGCCAAGATCCCCTACGGACGTTTGGAAGAAAGAGGAGCTCGCAGCTCCTGGGAGGCGGCCTCGCCACTCCTGAGATTACCCAAGTCCCCTACGGAAGCTTGGAGGATAAGGGAGCTCGAAGTTCCGAGGTGGCGGACGAGCCGTTCCTGAATCACGGCAACGCCGTGAGCACAAGAATAGAAGACTAGATTCGAACCATTTGTCTCAACCCAGCAGAGTGTGTAGAGCGGTGTTTCGAATCCTATGTAATATGAGAGCACGACCGCTCTAGGAAAGCCTAGAAAGCACATCGGTAACCAGCAGTGCGACACAGTTCGCACTAAGAAGTAGCACAGATTTGCCACTGAGAACAGCCAAGCAAATGATATCGCAAAAGACAAGGCTAAGCCAGGCACGGCGCGCTCGGTTATATAGCCGGGCAGCCGAATCTTGCATGCGGGTAGTGGAATCGCGGGCTGCGCCTCATAGCGGCCGCGGTCAGAGCTACCAGTCAGGCGCGGGGCGCCGGCGGGAGTCCCGTGCGCTCGCTCGCGAGAAACCAGTGTCCCTCGCCGATTGCGAGAATGCCCCAGGAGTTAGGCCGCCCGCCCCGCAGCGCTGATCCGCTAGCCGACTTTCCGCACGGCAGCCCGAGCCGTAGAGAACACAATGTAACAAAAAGTTCTTCAGGTATTCGAAGGGAAGTACCATAGATCATGTCTACCGGTGTTGTTTGAAGATCTTCTTTGAAGTTTGTGCGTAGTCCCAAAAGTACTGCAGAAAGAATAGCCACGGTTTTGAAGAACACATGAGTGGTGTTTTTAAAGTACGATGCCATCTTTCAACGAGGCCGTTAGATTGTGGATGATGTAATGTTGTTCTCTGTTTTCTTGCTCCTATGAACTTCGTTAGAGATACGGAAAGCGTTGATTCAAAGTGGCTGCCTTGATCTGATGTGATAGTGAGAGGTGTACCATAATGAGCGATTCAATTGTCAAATAAAGCGATGTAATAGTGTCTACTATGGTGTCTCGGAGAGGCTGTTGGCTATCTCGAGAATCGATTGATGATCGTCCGACAGTATTTATAACTTCTGACTTCAGGTAACGTTATGATGTCAATGTGAATATGATTGAATCTGTTATCAGGAACATTCATGTGTTTTGGCTCGGCCTTGGTGTGGCGATGGATATTTGCTCTTTGATAAGGCATACATTCTCTTGATCATTTGATGGCATCCTTCTTGATGTCGGACCAGACGTATTTTTCTGTGAAAAGTTTGGACGTAGTCCTGCCGTTGGGATGTGAAAGTTCATATATGACGTTGAAAGCTGTCATGCGGAGAATTCTGGGAATAAATGACGAACTATTCCGGATGAAATGTCGTAGTAGATTTTATCGGAGTTGATGGAGAGTTATTGTAATTGAAGTGATGAAGAGTTTTTGATCAGATTCTGTAGTTCCTCATCTTCTTGTTGATGTTCTTGTATGGTCTTGGCAGCACTATGGGCACGTCGATGGCGCTGATGCGCGATAATGCGCGCCATCAATAAATCGGCGACTACATTTTCATCGCTTTTAACGTAGATTATATCTATAGAAAATTGTGAGATGAAGTCCAATAATTGGCGTAATTGGCGTTCTGATGCTTTGTTGAGCTTTGTTGAACTTTGTTTGAAAGCGAAAGTGAGAGGTTTGTGATCTGTTTTTATGATGAATGATCGGCTATCTAGTAAGTGTTGAAAGTGTTTAATTGAAGCAAAAATGGCAAGCAACTCTGTCGTACTGTATCGGGTTTCGATGTCGCTAAGATTCCTGAAGAAAAATCTAATGGGTCTCCAGGTGCCATTCTTTAGTTGTTCCAAGGAGGCGCCGATTGCTGTCGTGGAGGCATCCGTGGTGAGTGCAAGAGTTGTTGTGTTATGTCGGAAACACCGCAACATCACGAGCATCTCAAGCAAGTTTTTCAACTTCAGGTGACTCACTTTCTTTCGATTAACACCACCAAAAGCATCCTGGGTAAAACCGAAGTAGAATTCTTAGGCTATTAACGAAAAAAGCTACGTACCAAATTCTCAACGAGTGTGGTTGTTGCGAGAACTTTTTTACACTGTTCAAAGGCTTCTTCCGATTCTTTTGTCCAACTGATGATTGTCTTGTTCTTTCTTGCTTTTCCCAGGAATGCGTTGAGTGATATCTGCATCTGAGCAGCACGTGGAATGGTGTGTCTGTAATAGTTGTACATGTCTAAGAATCGTTTAAGTTCTACCACTGTTTTTGGCTTAGGGTAGCTCAGAATTTTGTGAATTCGTTGAGAATTTGGTACGTAGCCTTTTTCGTTAATAACCTAAGAATTCTACTTCGGTCTTATTCAGGATGCTTTTGGTGGTGTTAATCGAAAGAGAGTGAGACACCAGACGTTGAAAAACTTGCTTGAGATGTTTGCGATGTTGCGGTGTTTCCGACATAACCATTATGTCATCTATATATACAAAAATGAAGTCCAGACTTCGAAAAACTGCATTGATATATTTTTGGAAACTTTGCGTAGCGTTCTTCAAGCCAAATGGCATCACTACGTATTCATATAGGCCTCAGGGAGTCGTGATGGTTGTCTTTGTGATGTCGTCGTGATGCATCGGAATTTGATAGTAGACCTTTTCCAGATCTATGATGAAAAAATATTGTCTTCCCGTGGAGCAAAGGAAATAAGCTGTGAGATGGAGCATATTTGTCCAGCACAGTAATTGCATTGAGTTTTCTGTAATTCCACATAATCGCCAGCTATTATTCATTTTGCGTACTATATGAATTGGACTGGACCATGAGCGACTTGGTCTGATGATATTGTTTTATAAAACAAGTCCAATTTCTATTCTAGCCACAGCGGTTTTTTCACCAGCTAGTCTTCGATGCCTCTCTGTGACAGGTGGTCCATTAGTAACGATCTTGTGTGAAAAATCAGATTTTTTTAAAAATCGTTATAAATGGAGGCTTGGTAATGTTTGCAAATTCTTGTAGTAATTCAACGTAAGGCATTATTGGATTGATGGTTGACACACTGTGGCAGTTAGTTTTAATCATATGGTCTTTGGTTGTGAAACTAGTGACTGAATCGATTAGCTGCTGATTTGTCAGGTCGATGAGCAGATGTGGTGTGTGAGAAAGTGTGCACCATGGCTTCTTGTACGTCAGCAACGATGAATGACCAAGAGAAGCTTCTGCGTAGATTGAGATCCAGAATAATGGAAATGGTCCCATAAATTTTAATTAGTGAAGTATTTGCTGCTGAGGTTTCTATTTGGAATGATTGAAACGACTGATCCAGAGTTGATTAGGAATCTCTTATTGGTCCCTTTATCGTGAATGTGCAGGCGGAGCTCTCTGAGTGGACTGGTGAGTGCGTGAGAATTCGGATGTGTGCTGTCGTCGAATACCGCTTCTACTTGAGACAGCGTAGCTAGTTTCCCCGGTTTTAACGTTGAAAACTGCAAGGGGTGGTACACTTACGTGCGTCTGAACCGAATCTCTTATAATAGTAGCAGATCCCCGTACGTTCTGGGGCGTGGACGGGAGCGAGAGCGATAACGAGATCGTCCTGAAGAGGATGAGTGTGAGCTGACTGCAGTTATCTCTCTCAGGCACATGGCCAGTGTCTTCTATAGTTCATCTACACGCTGTTCCAATCGCTGAATGGATGTTGAAGATGATTGTGGTGCTGAGTCCATTCGATGGTGTGTCGTAGTGGTCGCCATGATGTTAGGCTGATTTGCATCCATGATGCGATCCGTCATTTCAGCTAAAGCATTTAGATCCAGTGTGTCGT